TTATGCTATTCCAAGTAAACAGATTTTTAAGGCTCGGAGCACATCAATGCTTGCTCTAAGTTCCATCCTCCTACCTCTATTCACCAAAATTGTGTAAGTTTTTCCGAAGACGAGAATACGAGGGCTAGGATACCACTGTTAGAAGTAATATGCCAAGGCTAGGAGTGCTAATTCTATTAATCATACTTGCTAAGGCCACCAAATAGTAAACTAAAGTGCAGCCTGCACATGCATAAAAAATGTGAATCTACTATACTGTTGTAACCTATATCGGGCAAACTGTAAACTGAGGGTCAAAAAACATGTATTTAATAATAAATAAAGATCTACCACGCATTTTGGTCGTAACATAGAGGCATTTACCGTTCTTCCAGACTATTTTTGACTGTCTACAGTACTAAGCTCTAGCTTGGGATTTACAGAGCATCTCCTGTTTGTCAGTAGAAACTCCGGAAAGTTACAATCTTCAAACGAGACATGTCTCACAAATCCGCTGCACCGATCGCGGAGGAAAGAAAAGAATACATCTAGCGCTTGCTTCCGAAGTTCAAACGGTTCTGCCTAGTTTTATACTATGCCGTTTATTTTTGGGAGAAATTTCATTTCCCAAAATCGATAACTCGAAAACTTGTAAAAGCATCAATATAAACGGTGCATATATGACAGAAAAAAGTACCTTTAACGTTGGCATGGAGAAAGTATAGGAAGGAAACCCGATAAAGTGGTTCTGATTACAGTTAGCACAATTCCAGACTAATTCTAGTTGTAGACATACCGAATATTTTACCACAGGCATCGAGACCGTCTAAAACTAGGGATATTTGCAGCCATAGGTCAAACGTGTCCCACATTTGATAAAGCCCCGTATAATCAAACATTGGTTTAGGTATTTCGCGAACTCACCATTATGTCGAAGACTGGTCCGAAAAGGTGGAAGTGCTGAATGAGGTCAGTCGACTGAAGATGTCTCTCTTGGAGGACTTACACGCCTCTGCGGTAGAAGGCATAAGTTTAACACGCTCTCTTGTGCACCACTCCTCCCAATCGGATTTGGCTCCGGAGAGGATCAGGTGTCGCTCCTTCCGCCTTCTGCTCAGCGAAATAAGACTGCAAACGCACCGCCTGTATGACCTCTGAATGCGCTGCTGCACGGCAATCGGATCATCAGTCAGCGAGTTCTTTGCTGATGAGGGCTTTAAGTAATGAGAAAAGGGAGCAAGGACAGGGTTCTCGTCTACCGCCTCTGCTGAGAGCGCAGGAGTTTGCAGAGGATGATTGGCAAGGTCCTCGAGGCCGGACAGGAATTTTGGCCATTCAGCCAATTCCTCAAGGTAACGATCGTGCAACTCATCAGCCGACTTGACCACAGTCCGCTGGTCGGCACATGCACAGGACCGCAGTGCACTGCTAGGTTGTGAACTCTGTGCAACCTGGGAGGATGGTGGTTCAGTTTGAGGAAGCGCTGGACACTCAGAGGCCTTGGAGGGCGGTTCAGTCTGAGGAAGCGATGGACACTCAGAAACCTCGGAGGGCGGTTGGTCGTTAAGAGGCGGCGGCAAGTCTGGTTTTAGTGGCTCCCACCTGTTGTGCGGCGAATCTGGCGTTTTTTTGGGTTCAGCAAAGGAGGCAAGTTGC